CCTGTATGCAAGCCCTTATCTCAGGCTCAGTTTTCAGAAGAATGTAGAGTTAAGACAGATTCCTACAAGGATCTTGTATGAGCAGCTTCCATAAAAATTGTCTAATCCACCTACATATATTTGCCTGGCTGTGTTATTTCTAAGACAGTAATTAAGTTGGAAACTGTCTCTAAACCAAAAGTAAGTTTCAGGAGTAGCCTATGTTCCATTTACTGGAACAGTTGCCACCAAAATTGCTCCTGACCTTAATGAGAATAGCTACTATCGAGATAGGTGCAGGCTCCAATCTCCCTCTCCTCTCCTGAAGAAGCAGGAGCCTTCAGGGACAAAGACCCTCATTCAGAAAATATAGTTCCCTCTGAGATTTTGAGATGAGAGTTTAGGATGAAGGGCCTCCAAAAGAGGGAAGAAAAATCAACATATGAACAATAAAATTCATAATGAATTTTATTTGAATGCAGAGGAAAATCAGAAAGTGATAATGATAGTTGGTATATGAAATGACATGTGGATAACCGAAAGGGAGAAAGTGAGTAGAAGGTAGGCTGGGGAGTGTTTTAGGTTGAGTAGATCAGAGAGGTGGTAGTTGGTAGATCAGAGGATAGGAGATGGTCGGTCAGTTATGTAGCAACCACAAAATGCTTGTCATGTATTTTTCAAGGTATCCTTTTCTGATTATTAAAATATAGAGAAAAATCATTGCAGGCTTGCTCACAGAACACGTGCAAATGAAATCTGCCCTCCTGAGAAGTATTCCTTGGAAGTTTTCAGAACAGCAGTGAAAAATTTTAATTCAGACTATAGCTAGAAATGGATATAGTTCTTTTGTGACTATCATTCTCCCTTACAAAATGTGTTAACTACCTATGTTTTGCATTTCCTGATGTATAGGCAAATTCATGAGGTCTTTCATGAATTTAGATGTCAGCTATTTAATATCATTTTATTAAAAATGGATTCTATAAATAATACTGAGTGCAAGAATTAGAGAGAGCAAAAGGAGGAGGGTTGGCTGCTTCTGGGCAGTCTCTGTTGAGGACCCATTGACTGGTTTTCCTTTCTCATTCCCAGATATCCAGGAAGGGCTCCATGACATGAAGATTTCTGGCATTGTATATCTTCCCATGGAAGTGTCAGCTCAAACTATAGAGCTCAATTCTTGTTATGTCTTTATTACGTAACTTAGTTTCACACTAAATCCACCTGGCCAATATTCCTCCCAGGATGCCTTCTAACTTGTCTCCTTCATTCTGATGACTCACAATTACAAACTCGAACATTAACCCTAAGACTCTACCCCCAGTACCTTCTGTACTCTCTCTGATCTGGCAGACAGCTTCATCCTCAGCTCACTGTCCCCAACCCTACCAATTTCTCCTACCCACCCCCCAGTTGGATCTTTTATCTTCTATGGATCCTCACCCGTAACTTTTAATTCTTTGTTCTTCTCTTTATGCCACTTATCCTACCATACCTTGATATCATAGTTCGTCACAGAGTGGTTTGGGGCCCCAATCTCAACCCCCTTCCATATACTTCCACTCGTTGAGAGCAGGCCCCAAATTTCACTTACTAGAACATAAGCTCCACATTAAAAGAGCACATGTATTACTCATTGTTGCATCTACTGCCCAAAATAGAGACTGACACAAATGCTTTACAAATATTTGGTGGATGGATGGATTTATCCTTTAATTCTCCGTGTGGCCCAGTTCTGTATTTTGTGCATAACTGATCCTTTATAAACAGTTGTTGGAATCAACTTTACCCAATTAAGAGCTACTTGGCTCTAAAACATAGGGTCTAATATTTTATAAATTTGAGTTACAGGTCACTAAGAAAAATTCGTATAAAGTAGTTTCCTGACCTTTTTAAACTACATAATAAAGACATCTCTTCCTGAGATGGGACTTTTGCTTTCATGAACTTCCCTAAAGAGGCCTAAGTCATATAGACCAGAGCCAAGAATTATACATTTTAAGTTGAAAAAAACTTCAAAAATGCAAACACCTTGTTTTACAACAGCAATCAAAAAAGGTCAAAAGAATTAAAAAGAAAACAAAAGACATGCTGCATTACAACTTAATTCTCGTGCCTTCCATTTCAGTGTTTTCCTGCAACAATCTGTTTTTGAGTACAGACAATGGAAAATGTGAGGAAAAATCATGGCATAGAATGACCAGATCTGGATATCTTAACACCAAATCTATAGGTATCTGTCTACATAGCACAAAATGTAAAACTATCCCTTCAATTTCTCCACACTAGATATAAAGGAGGGAACCATAACTATGGGCTTATTATGCCCTGTTCTAACCAGCTGAATCAATCTGACACACAATACTGGTTGAAAAGATCCACTGCCCCAGAAAAATACTATCAAAATTTTGTAAATATTATGAACTTTATAGATTCTGTTGTTACAATTACTAGGAAACACTCTTGTACATCACTCTCTCACTCTTTTACCACCAGTGAGTTAATAGCCAAAATTATTTTCTTCTTCTCTTTCACTTAAAAAAATTGTACATGTATGTATACACACACACACACACACACACACAGTTGTATACTAATTTTGGTTATTCAGATAAAAATGACATTATTTTGAGATTCTGGTACTTTATGTACAAAATCCCCTTGGAAAATTCCAAGACATATCTCAGATTATATGAAACTCATTATTATTATGAAGTTCCTATGTAACTGAGTAGAATTTTAGACTTATAAATTATGTCTATAGACTTATAATTATATTTTTATATTTTACATATTTACATTTACATTTATTTTAAAGTTTCCCCTCTTAAATGGAAGCCATTATGGAAATAAAAATGCAGTAAAATTTCTATTTAAAATGTTTTGTTGTTCCATTGATATGATAAAATCCTATTTCTGATATCAACAATATGTGTAATCCTTTCTCATTCACTCTCTGTGATCAAGCCTACATGCATACATATTTATGCATACATTATTTATAATTAATCATAAAAGGTACTTGAGCTTTCTAAACAATTATTTCTTTGTATCAAATCAACTAAATTTCAACCTTAAGTTTCTTTTCAAAACAGTTTAATAAAGAAACATTTCGAGTGCCTATGTTGTGATAGACATGCATTTATTCATTCAACAAATGCTTACTAAAAGCCTTTGTGAATCTTGCCCTGTTGTAGGAACTGAAAATAGATAAAACAGATGGTCATGCCTCTGCTATGATGGGGCTTATTTCCTACTGGGAGACATGAAAGAGAGAGAGAGAGATGAAAAAATAACTCTAGGTAGTAATATGCACAGTGAAAAAAACACTCCAATGGGACAGTGACTGGGAGTGTGCTCATCTTTAGAAAGGGTATTTCAGGGAAAGCACCTCTGAGGAGGTGACATTTGGTTCTAGACCTGAAAGAAGAGAAGAAACCAACCATATAAAGATGAACATTCTGAATATAGGGCCCAACAATACAATTGTTCTGAGATCTGGCCTACATGAGGGACAGTAAAGAGCAAGGCAAGCAAAGAGAAAGGAGCCGGAAATCAAGGGGAGAGACAGGGAGGGGCCAGATCATATCAGACCTTATACGCTGTGGTAAGGAACTTTATTCAAAGGGCAATGGATTACTACTGGAAAGTTTTGATCCAGGCGTGAAATGATCTTACCTAAAATTTAAAAAATTCAGTTTGTCTGCATTGCAGAGTAGGAGATGAGCAGGGAGACCAGTCAGGAGGCAGATGTAGCAGACACAGAGAGAGAGAAGTAGACAGAGTCAAGCTGTAATTTGGAGGTAAAAATGCCAGGATGTGGGAGACAAGGGAAGCAGAGGCACTGGGTTTTTAGTGCCTGGAGCAACTAGGTACATGGTTGCACAATTTGTTGGATGGGGAAGACTGGGGGTTAAAATGATGGTTGGAACACATTCAGATCTCCGCTTTAGAGTATCTAAACATCCAAATAATCATCCAAAACAGACAGATGTACTCAGTCAGATTTTCAAGAACCTCCTTTTGCGATAAATTAATGATAAATTATACACCTGACCTTTGAACAACATGGGTTTGAACCGTGCAGGTTCACTTATACACAGATTTTTTTTCCCAGGATTCTAGTTAAATGTACTGCCTCTTCCCTAGGAGTTCTTAGTAACATTTTCCTTTCTCCAGCTTAGTTTAAGAATCCAATATATAATACATATAAATACAAAATATGTATTAATTGAATTTAAATTATCTGTAAGGCTTCCAGTCAAGAGTAGGCTCTTAGTAGTTAAGTTTTTAGGGAATCAAAAGTTATACACACTTTTTTGACTACCCAGGGTATCAGTGCCCCAACCCCTACAGTGTTCAAGGGTCAACTGTACATATATATATATATATGAATATGGAAATAGAACTCTTCTAATTTTGGAGATATTAGCATGCAAATGGTATTTAAAGCCAAAGAAAAGCTAGGGAGACAATGTAGGTAATGAAAAGAAGAAAGCTGAAGATTAAGCCCAAGGCACTCAAACACTTTAACTGTTGGTCGTCAAGGACAAAGACTTGGGGGCCAAAAAGAAAGAGGAATACAAACAGCCTATGTTATTGCAAAAGTCAGGTGAAAAAAATGTTTACTGAGGAGAAGTGATGGACTATGTCAGGTGTAGCTGAGAGGCTTAGTAAGATGAGGACTGAAAATGGACCAACCATTGAATTTAGCAACACGGTGGTCACTGTTAACTTTGAGAACCATGGAGAAAATGGATGTTCAACTGGAGGGAAGTGAGGACAAAATGAGAGGGTAGGAGGCAGAAACAGTATTTTTTTTTTTAATTGTGCTAGATGTGATGGAGGATGATAATATCGCATAGCCCTTGTTTTCAAAGAAGGCCCTTAACGTGTAAGAAATCTTTCATCAACAATCTCTGAAAAATATATTTTTGATAGAAAAAGCAGTTTCATTTATATTAATAAGCTCCTTGCAAAGCCTGTTACTATAAAAAAGGAAAAAGCTAAGCTAAATAACATATTTTATTAGGAACACAAAACCTTCAATGCATCAACAATTTTGTCTTCAGGTTTTGAGATTGTGTACAAACTAAAAATAAATTTTATACATCACTTCACAAATTAAAATGCTCACTGTTCAGAATATGACTATTCAAAAATGAACTGTAGACATTTTCTTTGTCCTATTTCCAAAATCTTCCTAGACAGGATGTTAGACAGCTACCACATATAATATGTGTGAATTAAATAAGATAAATGTGTCCTTTGCAATAAAAAGTCTGAGGTTTTATGTAATTATAGGCATGTGAATGAATAGTTTAGAATAATGTACCACTGTCATCAAATCACATCTTCATATACATGTATAATCCATTTTGCACAATGGTTTCAATTCAGTGTGTATGTAATTAAATTGTAAGGTACAGTAATAGCTGCTGCTGAGTTGAAATCTTGCTTTTTTAGTTTAAAGAAATGAACAGAAAACATAGTCTAGTGAACATCAAAGTACCTTTTTGAGACAGTTAAATCTCATCAAAGAGGTCTTCTGAACTACTGTTTCTTAGAGTTTCTAAAGACATGTTTTCAGCTGAGCTGTGCTCCTTTTTTGACGTCTCAGGTGGTGAAGGATCAAGCCTAGAGTAAAAAGAAAATCAAGAGAATTTTATTCTAGAAAATGCCATATACGGTAAAAGAAAATTAAGAGATACATAAGTGAAATAAAAGTTAAATTCTATTTCAGAATTGGTTTAGAGACTCATTTCCCTATGCTGCACTAACATAAAAAAAGAGATGAAGAGAATTTAATTACTTTAACTGCTTTAGGATTAATCTGTCTCTATTCTGAGCTAACAAAAATTCAAGGGCCTACAACAATACTCATAATTAAGGTCAAGAAATAAAATATCCTCTGTGTTGTAAGCCTTTTTACGCCAAGATACAGAAGGTCTGTCTCTCAAGCCATCTCCTCTTTTTTTTTTTTTTTAAGATTTTATTTTATTTATTTGACAGAGAGAGAGATAGCAAGAGAGGGAACACAAGCAGGGGGAGTGGGAGAGGGAGAAGCAGTCCTCCTGCCAAGCAGGAGCCCGACGCGGGGCTTGATCCCAGGACCCCAAGACCACGACCCAAGCTGAAGGCAGATGCCCAACAACTGAGCCACCCAGGCGCCTCTCTCAAGCCATTTCTTTAATAATCCCATCACAATTTACATCTTCCTTTGGCTCCCTTAAATTCTACCTATTAACATGCATTTTAATCTCTTAATATCAGAAAGTTCTGATCACATGAATTTCCTTTAGTGGTCTTTCGATTATAAGTGTATATAACTGATAATGACTTCACATTTTAGCAGTTGTTGATGAAATGTTGTTGGTCCACATTCACTTACTGAATTTACATATCTTTATTTAATAACTAAATTTTATTCCATTTCAGTATTGGAGTTACCACATCAATGGGCTGATCTCTAGTATTTATGTAAATGCTCTCTTTGAGTCCTAGGATAAAAGGCATGATGATCCCAGATTGTTAACTGGACTTATAAAACGGTAAATTGCGGGGTAACAGCTCAATCAGAAGGACCCTTGGATAAACCTTGTCAGTGGTTCTTTGTGGAACCTAAAGAAAACATGCTTAATATTGACAATTAGAGGTGGCTTCAGGGGCAGTTATGACTAGGCTGAGTCAATCCACTAAAACTCAGTAATGCCCCCATATTTCCAACTTCAAAGGCAGAGGGAGAGTCATAGCAGCTAGGTATAGCTGAAAGCGAATGGTACTTGAAGTCCGGACACCTAGATGTGGATCCAGGTCTATTTCTTCTTAGCTATGTGACTTCAGGCAAGTCATTTAACCTAACTAGATTCTTGTTTTCTCACCTGTAAAACTGGAATATTATCTGCCTCAGAGGCGGTCTAAAGATTAAGTGAAGTATCCTATATGAAAATACTTGTAAATTCCCATAAAACATTTGGAAACTATTATTATTAGCCTCTACTAGTGCATAAACTACAAAAAAAAAAAAAAAAGCTCAGACTAACAGCTTCTTTAATTTAAAAGGATAACCAATTAAAAATCCCCAAACACTGACTTTGTTTAGATTATGAGTATTTCAAAAATCCAGGACCCACACTTAGTCGCAACAGATTATCAAAAATGAATCTGCCACAGGGTCCTCCTTGGCCTCCTGGCTGCATACAATTAATAACTGTAGTTGGCTGCCACTAGACCTGCGACGTGTTCTGTCTTATCCTGAGCAAGCCAAGTTCAGACAACATTACGCTCACAGGAATGCCAGGGTGCTAGGCATTACTGAATTATCAAGATGACAAGTCCTCCCTCTGGGAACTTCAATGTTAAAATTAACAATAAATACGGACACAATTATTGTAACATGTAATTAAATATCTAAAAATATATTTCATAGAAGGAGAAAATGATACAGTACAGAATAAAAGTATAAGTATTACATGCATAAGTTTTCAATGTCAACTCAACACATTTAAACATTTTTCTCTGGCCCCAAATGTCTCAGAGTTGCTTTTTTCTCCTCCTGGCAAAATGGAGAATTGATTTTTTTTCAATTAAAAAGTCAGACCTTGAAAAATCTCTGATTTTGTTCGTAGTTTACAGCCAGAACACAGAGATCAATCAGTTTAGTTTAAAAAAAAAAAAAACCTGGCATAAGACAAAAGGGCCACTCTGAAGTGACAAGTCTGAAGGACATGGATCCCTAGTGCTCCATTTATAATTCCCATCTCCATCTAAAGTCACAAGGAGCTCAAGAATTAGATTCTCTTTTGTTTTTAGTGCCTAGTACATAAGAGATGTTCAACAAAAGTTGTTCAATGAATGGAGATCATTTTTCTATAGCTTTTTTATCTGTGGTAAGTCAACAGAATAAATTTAGAACTCTTCCCACAACCAAAAGTTTAATCATTTATATAAGTAATAAATATTCTAAGACTTCTTAAAAATTCTAAAAAGCATAAAGAAGAAAATAAAAATGTCCATCATTCTATTTTACATTATTTGTATTTTCATGGTTTTTATTTTCACACAAATGGGATCATTCTGAAATATATAATTTTGTTTTTAGAGAATTTTTTTACTCTACACATTAGCAAAGTCTTTGCATGTTAAAAGACACATATCTACATTAATCATTCATTTTATTTTGGTTGCACTAACCATTAATCTACTGATGGATATTTGGGTTGTTTCCATTTTTTAATGCTCTTATAAACAACAAAACAATTAATATCCTTAAACATACATCTTAGCATATTTATCACATTATTGTTTCATGAACATGCTTATTCCAAGAATTCATGCTTAGAGGTAAAATTTGAAAGCAAATAGCTCAGTGAATCTTATCTAAAGTCTTAATAGAAAGTGAGCTAAACAAGTAATTTGAAACTTGAAACTTGGGAGTTCCACCATAACATCAGTTATGGCCATTTTAAGTCATAAATGTTCCACAAAGACTTCCCACATTCAGGCTGATTTTTCTTTTCTTTAATCATTTAAAGTAACTAATGTCTTTACCCTGTATTTCAATATATAATTTTATTCATTTAATCAATATCTGTTTAGTATGTACTATGAACAGCTCATTGTGTTAGGGGAATAAAACAAATTGATAAAGTTATCAAATGATTCTTGCTCTCAAGAAGCTTTCAGTGAAACTTTTTGCTTTTTCTCATTTTTAAAAAAATGTGTCTTTTCATCCTAAAAATTTTATAAGTAGCTTGAAGTAACTATGTAATATAATTTGCTCACAGTGATTTATCCTTTTAGGAATCTCTATAAACATTGTATCAATATTTAGGACTCAAGAAGATTTTTCAGATAGTTTTTGTGGAAAAAATTATTCAACAGGAAGATTCTGAATCCAGGGTCAAGGATTTTTATTTATTCTTCATCACTTTGAGATTTTGGTCAGATGACTGCACTTTTCTGGGTCTCAGTTTCTGAATTTAATTTGTGGGAAGTTAGGATTACTATAAATGATCTTGGACTTCTTCCAGTTCCTGAATTCTGAAACAGTTACATTCAGTTGAGCATAGGCTACCTTCCAAAACATAGGTTCTCAATAAATATCTGTGGAATAAATGAATACTGTAAATTAAAGATGAATGGCTAATGAAAGAAAGAAACCACCTTTGTAGAGTTTAATGCTTAAGTATAAGGACTTTTTTAAATGAAGGGAATAAATGAAACTAGATGATGACAGCTTTTACTAAAAGAAGACTTATGTTCTCAATAACACAACTGCATAGATTTCTGTTTTATTAGCTTGATTCCACACGGTATTGCAACACACACATATACACAACTACACAGGAACTATATCCTGAATCAAAACATCAAAACTGCACGACCACCATCTATTAACAATGAACAATGTAGATCAAAAGTTAGATTTGTCAAAAGATGTATCTCATCCTGGGAAAGTTTCTCTAAAATGTTTGAATGAAGATTGGCTTCTCTTTTAACTATCTGGGAGTTGAATTACCAACATCTTTTGAAATGTTATTTCCAGTTATTGGCTCATTTTGTAAGGGCATTTTCTCAGCCTAGTTTAATACTGGTGTTACCATGGCTAGAATATCAACCTTTTCTTACTCAAATGAGAAACATTAATATACTTTGGAGTGAATTACTTGCATTTTGTTACATATTCTGAGAATAATATTCCTAAAACACGTCAAGGTGCCAAGCTGAGCAAAATGAGAGATCCAGAAAAATGTGAAATGATTAATGGCACTGGGACACTTGAAAAATCATGCCATTTGACTATGACACAAATGATGGTTCTGAAATAAAAAATCAAAGGTCAATTTTTATGTGGCCTAACTATCTCTCTACCCACACAATACACACATAAAATTCAGGAGAATGTCCTTAGGATCTTAGGATAGATAAGTTTTATTTTTTGTTTTTTAAGCAGAAAGGGAAACCATGAAGATTGATCAATTCAATTACATTAGAAGCATTAGAAGCAAGTACTTCTATTCATCAGTAGATACCTTAAAGAGAATGAAAAGACAAGTTACAAACTGAAAGGAGATACTGCAACATAAGCTACTGACAAAGGATTACTATCTAAAACTCCTATAACATTTTAAAAATCCAACATAATTTAACAATGTATGCCAAAGACCACAGGAACTTCCAAGAGAAGGGAACAGTGGGGGCAAATAAGCATATGATAATAAACTCGACTTCACTGGTAACCAAGGAAATGAAAACCACTATGAAATATTTTACACCAGATTAGCAAAAATGAAAATGTTCAATAGCAGAGATCGTGGAGGACATGGAATATAACAAGATAAATTACTACTGGTTCGAGTATAAACAGTGAAATCGTTTTGGATAACAATTTGGCAACAACTACCCAGGTATATGGAGACCTATATACCTATACCCAGGAATTCCACTCCTACACACACATTTTTTTTTTTTTTTAAGATTTTTATTTATTTATTTGACAGAGAGAGAGACAGCGAGAGAGGGAACACAAGCAGGGGGACTGGGAGAGGGAGAACAGGCTTCCCGCGGAGCAGGGAGCCTGATGCGGGGCTCGATCCCAGGATCCTGGGATCATGACCTGAGCCGAAGGCAGACGC